TAAAGGGGGGAAATTAACGAGAGATTGGTCAAGGAAGAGTCGATAAGAGAGTTTTGTAGCTATTGTCCGTAAGTGTAGAATTATTGAATGTGAGCTTCGCAATCTTGCTTGCCCCTATCAAACGCAAATGGCAAACTATTTGGGAACCACGGCGACGCACAGAACGGCCGAACCGGCACCTGCCACGCGGCGAGCGGCCGGAGATACCACGAGCGGCCCAGGGTGCAAGCCGGCGATCAACTGCCGGGACAGTGACCAAAGTCACGGAATATTGTAGTCCCCCCAGCCGCGTATGCTCCGTGTGCTAGTGACGTGGCGCAGTGGTAGTTGCTGATGGAGCCGGCACGTTATTGGCTGTGGGCGCTCCAGGTGCTGCATGGCGGGAGACACCTCACCTGCCACGAGAGCCTTCCCCGCACGGGGGGCCGTCGGCTGCCGAACTCCACCATCCACGTACGGCACCACGGTGGTCTGACGAGTCATCCCAAGCCGCTCTAGGCTGACGCAGGTTTCGGGGATAATTTAGCTACCTAGACGACCAGCGTTGGTCTATCCGAACGACTGTCTTTTGCAAGACGACACAAACAAATTTGAATTTCAGCTTATGTAGCCAGTATTTTTGGCAGTTGTTTTTTATAGTAGCTTTATGAAGCCAGTAAATAGTGGGAAGAATATTGCTTGAAATTCTGCCTTGTATAAGTCCAGTCAAGTGCTGGAGAATGCAACTACGCATTGAGCTACGGAACATGCTCACAAAGAGGACATCGTGCACCGGCACTTCAAAAACATTGCCAAAAAGCCCCCCTCGCGCAACATAGACTTCAATTGGGGGATCCTGCATACCCCTGATTGTGATCTTCATAAGCTGGACAACGCCATCACAGAGAAGGAGGTGAAGGCTACTGTGTTCTCCATGCCAGGAGACAAAGCCCCTGGACCGGATGGTTTCTCCGGTGCGTTCTTTAAGGCATGCTGGAGCATCATCAAGGCGGACATTATGTGTGCCATCAATCATTTCTCTGATCTACATGCATCCCATTTTCACTGGCTGAATTCGGCAGATGTTGCTTTGATCCCTAAGAAGAATGGTGCTGATGACATCACAGATTTTCGCCCCATCAGTCTTATCCATGCCATTGCCAAGATTATTTTCAAAATGATGTCCAACCGCCTTGCGCCACACATGGATGACCTTGTCTCGCAGGCTCAGAGTGCTTTCATAAAAAAACGATGCATTCATGATAATTTCATGTATGTTCGCAACCTAGCGAAACGCCTGCACCGCAAAAAGACCCCTGCACTCCTATTCAAACTCGACATCAAAAAGGCATTCGATTCGGTTAGATGGGACTTCCTCCTCGACTTGCTCAACCACCTTGGGTTTCCTCCGAGGTTCAGGGGCTGGATCTCGACTTTGCTTTCTTCAGCGTCCTCTCGTATTCTCCTTAATGGGGTTCCAGGGGCCCCCATCAAGCACGGATGTGGTCTGAGGCAAGGGGATCCGCTTTCCCCTCTCCTATTCGTGCTTGCGATTGATCCGCTACACCTAATCCTCCAGAAGGCCACCGCCCAAGGAAAACTGCACCCCCTCGATGGTCAGGCTATGGCAATTCGGGCCTCCCTCTACGCGGACGACGCAACCGTTTTCCTTGCCCCCATCAAGACGGATGTTGAGTTCTTTGCCCGCACCCTAAAGAGTTTTGGGGAAGTCACTGGCTTGGTCACGAACTGTACCAAAAGCTTGGTTGCTCCTATTCGTTGTGAGAACCTGGACCTGGTGGACATCTTACACTCTTTCCCGGCTAGCCGTACCTCCTTCCCAATGAAGTATTTGGGCCTACCTCTCTCGGTCAAGAATTTGAAAAGAATCCACTATCAACCGCTTGAAGACAAGATCGCAGCCCAATTGGCACCGTGGATGGGTAAACACGTTGCCTCTCCAGGACGTGTTGTGTTGGTCAAATCCGTGCTTACGGCCATTGCTATCTATTATATGACGGCGCTGAACCTCCCGGTTGAGGTGATGAACAAGATTGATGCTCTCCGACGGGCATTCTTGTGGGCTGGATGTGACAAAGTCACCGGTGGAAAATGCAAAATTATTTGGGAGCAAGTGTGTAAGTCAAAACTTCATGGTGGCCTTGGCATTCTCAATCTGAAAAAGTTTGCATCTGCTCTGCGCATTCGTTGGCTCTGGGGTGAGTTGCTTACTCCGATCAAGCCTTGGGTGGGATTAGGGACGCCGTGCGACCGACAGGATAGAGACATCTTTGCGGCCTCCACAAAAGTCGTCGTGGGCGATGGTACACGTGCCATTTTTTGGGAGTCTGCTTGGCTTGATGGTTTGCGACCCAAGGACATTGCACCAAAAAAATTTGAGCTGTCACAAAGAAGGAATTGCACGGTTCAGAAAGCGCTCCTCAACAATTTTTGGGTGTCTCAGGTGAAGATCTCTCAGGGCATGACTGTTAACCATCTTCATGAGTTTGTCAGCCTATGGGAGAAGCTATCTCATGTTCAGCTAATTCCTGACATGCCTGACTCCATCATTTGGAAGCTCACCAAGGATGGTCACTGTTCTGCAGCAACGGCTTACAGTGCG